AAGTATATGTACATAGACCTATATCCCTATCATATATTAATATATTTACATATGTACATGCCTATATTTATACCTCTGTAAATGTCTCGCCTCCTAGTTCTTTCCTTTACTTCTTTTTACTTATTATGAGTTTTCTTTTAGGCACATGCCCTGATAGTGAATTTTTTTTCTAACTGATCTCCTCTCTCCTTGCCAATCTGGTCCTTTGGAAGTCGTCTAGGATTCTGTTAAAAATATTAACTCTTCATCCAGCTTAAAACACTAGTCACCTTTGATGTGTACTCCTCACCATTGCTTTTCATCTCAACTTATTGCTAAAAAATAGAGATCCCCAACTCACTGCCATCAAGTCATACTGACTCATGGTGACTCTTTAGGACAGAGTAGTAGTATCCCTGTGGGTTTCTGAGACTATAACTCTTTATAAAAACCACATTTTTCTTCTCTGGAGTGGTTTGTGGTTTTGAACTGCTGACCTTGTGGTTGGCAGCCCAACTTGTATGGAGACAGGGCTACCTCTATTTGTAAATGCCTCTCAAATCTTACCCCCTACTTGTCTGTGCCAAGGAATATTGGTTCCCAAGACATGCCTGGTTTAGCTGGAACATGGTAACCTGAGGTTCTCTGAAGTGTCTTCCCTAACAAAGTTCCTGTGTATCTTCTGTCCTCTGTAAAGCACGCTGGACAGAGTGAGACAGGTGTTTTCACTCTCTCTCCAGATTGTCAAAGCCTATTTTCTCTTTGCTCACCCTGCCTTCAATTCTACATTCTCTCTGAAAACTGTGTTGTCCCCAAACCCAAACAGGCAACAAGTCTGAGTCTGCATGATAACATCGTTGTTTTGTTTTTTTAAATATCCTCAGTATTGAACATTTTTTGGAGTAAAACTGTGTCGAATTATCTTTGTGCCGTCATAACACCTAGTATACCAAGGAAGAATTGACCATAAACAACTAAACACTGGTCAATTTCTTGTTGCAAAGAGTCAGATAAGTGATCAGAGGAATAATACATTGAGAAATGAACTCTGTGGTCTAATGGAAATTTATATGAAATAGACAAAAAAAAGTAAAGATGGATCACAAGTGAATGTTTTAGGTTTTGGTATTTCTGACTTCTTAAATGTTAAAATAAGGAATTTCTGAGAGGCTAAGTGAGCCCTGGTAGGGTAGTGGGTCACACTTCGAGCTGCCACCTGCAATGTCAGCAATTTGAATCTGTCATTTGCTCCGAGAAGAAAGGTGATGCTGTCAGCTCCCATGTACGTTTACAGGCTTGGAAACCAACAGAGCTGGTCTACTCTCCTGTAGTGTCACTTTGAGTTAGAATGGATGTGATGAAAGTAGATAGGTGGGCTCAGTCTATTAAGCTGCAAACTGAAAGGTTGGCAGTTTGAACCCACTGGCTACTCCTTGGAAGAAAGATGAGTCTGTTTTCTGTAAAGTCTCACACCC